TTTTTTTTTTTCATTACTTTCAGTAGGTTCCAAATTTTCAATCATAAACATTTATAATTTTCTTAATAAAAAAAGCAAATGGGGCCGGCCCCGTGGCTTAGCAGTTAAGCGCGTGCGCCCCGCTGCTGGCGGCCCGGGTTCGGATCCCGGGCGCGCACCGACGCACCGCTTCTCTGGCGATGCTGAGGCCACGTCCCACATACAGCAACTAGAAGAATGTGCAGCTATGACATACAACTATCTACTGGGGCTTTGGGGGAAAAAATAAATAAATAAAATAAAAAAAAAAAGTGGAGGCTCTAGAGACAGTTTGCCTGGGTTTGAATACTGGCCCTGCTACTTATGGAACCTTAGGCAGTTATGTGCTCAGTTTCTCTCTCAGTTTACTCACCTGTAAAATGGAATACAGTCATCTGTCACTTAATGACAGGGATACGGTCTGAGAAATGCGTCATGAGGTGATTTTGTCGTTGTGCGAACATCATAGAGTGTACTTACACAGACCTGGATGGTACAGCCTATTACACACCTAGGCTGTACGGTACTCATCTTATGGGGCCACCGTCTTACATTCAGTCCGTCATTGACCAAAACGTCATTATGCAGCACATGACTGTATTAATAGTTTCTACTTTTATAGCATTGTTGCAAGGTAAAAGTCAGTGCATGTAAAGTGCTTAGAATGATGCTTGTCTCTTGATAAATACTTAATAAGTACTATTATTATAAATTTCATCATCACATCTCCTAGTTTATTTTCTCATCACTTTATATTTGTCAGCATATACTTTTTGCTGTGTTCCCTTTTATTTTCAATTATGAAAATGAAAATTTTTAAATGCATACAGAAGAGAATATTACAATGTTCCTCCATATAAGTATCACGCATATTCAACAATTATCACTATTTTGCTCACTTAGCTAACACTTTATCCCGAAATACACTTTTTTCAGGTTCATATTCTATGCTTAGATATAACAACAGTGAAACTCACTCAAGTTTTTTTTAAGATATTAAATACTCTGATCTTAGATCGTTTTTTGTCAGCCTTTTTAGAAAAACAGCATGTTTCTTACATGAAAATTACACACAACCTTATGATTTTCATGTATTTTGTCTCAATTTGTCTTTTGTAGTAGGAAGAATCAGTATTCCTTTTTTTTTCTTTTTTAAAGTTTGAATTCTTCTTTACAGTCAGAAGAAGAAGTTGTCGAAGGAGAGAAAGAAGTTGATGCTTTGAAGAAAAGTGTAGATTGGGTTTCCGACTGGTCCAGCAGACCTGAAAACATCCCACCAAAGTAAGTTCTGACGGGTTTCTTTTCAGTGGACACCGTGGATGTAGCTCACACTCTCGTGTGCAGTGGACCTGCTCATTCCCAAGCTATTTTCAGCAAATGCGTTTCTGACACCTGCCTCTGAATTTCTTCCCCCAGGGAGTTCCACTTCAGACACCCCAAACGTTCTGTTTCTTTAAGCATGAGGAAAAGTGGAGCCATGAAGAAAGGGGGTATTTTCTCCGCAGAATTTCTCAAGGTGTTCATTCCATCTCTCTTCCTTTCACATGTTTTGGCTTTGGGGCTAGGGTAAGTACTGGTGGACTCCCAAAGGCTTTTCCCTTCATTTGACCCTCATATTTTATTTCTAGATGTACAAAATACATGTCAAAGCAGTTTGTTTTGTTCTGCTTTTTATGTCCTAGTGCAAATATGGTGAACTTAGAATTATTAAAGTTGATACACTGTTGGTATACCGATAAGCATTTTTAATAGTAGGATTTTTTTAATTTGAAAAATCAGTTCATATTAATCCCCTAAATGAGCATTTTTAAGTAGACTCTTCTATGTTTGATTTTCATTTTTGGGTTTTGTTGTCGTTCATAAAGTACTCAAGATTAGCTACGTTTTAAAGTAAACTAATCTTTAGTGTGTAAATTTTGGGGTTGATATGAACATTTTTTTTTCCCAGATGGGAAAATACACCATTTTGTTGAGTTGTCCTTGAATGAAACTGGTAGGTTGGTTGGGAGTACTGTTTTTTTCTCCTTGTGGCATTTTCACTTATTCTTCTTAAATTGACCCCACATTTACCTGTAATTTGTTAATTTTTCAAGTACGTCTTTTAAATTCTTTTTTTTTCTTGATGTGAACAGTTGAGGAAATGTATTTTTGAAAGATTTTAGGAGTTAAACACTAGCTGTTCATTTTTATCGAGACCTATCTATTATTCTCTTTAAGCATGTCCAGTGGGTCATTTTCTCTATATAAGATGCAAAAGATATGTCATCCCTTCTCTTCTCTTTAAGCAGCTCAGCATGTGGGAGAGACGTTCACAGTCATGACCATGGAAACGTGTTTGTGACTGTCCCACACACCCTTTGTCTTTCTGGGTGCGTGGTCTGCTTTTGTGATGGCGAGGACAGCGATCACAAACAGCAGAATGGAGGGTGTTTGTGGAGGAAAGGGAGTGTGTGCATGTCGTGTAGGGTTGGTGTGGGGGCAGGGGTGGAGTTTAAACTCCCCTACAAGATTGACTGTATAGGAATGTATTTGCCCTCAAGACGTTGGTTTTTGTACCTTGCAGTATCTCTTCCTTTCCTGAATCGTCAGACTGTTTCTCTTGCTGGTGTAAGTTAACTATTGTGATAGATGAATGTAGAGAAAAAGATTTTTAAAAGTTGGTTGGTTTTATTACACTGAGGGCTGAGGCTAGTGCCATAGTTTCCTTAACTTCCTTTCTGCTTCTGTTATTTAAAGGTAAAATACATGTCTGGCATGGAAAAGTAATATTAGGCCCTTAATGCTTAAGAGTTAAACTGTTAGTAAGAGCCCCCTTTAAAGCACTGGCAGCTTTAGAATTTGGCATATTATGATATTTTGTTATCTGAAGTATCAATAGAACACTTTGTCCACCACAAAGGAACGTCTCACAGAAGGTTGGTTCTGCTTCACTCTTTGGAAAGGTGTGTTCTCTCTGGCTTTGCTCTAATTGCTGACCCTGTGCTGTCCAGTCCTGTCTGATGAATAAACATAATCATAGAAAACCCGTTTGGCTGGCTGGTGACCAGCTTTAAGTCAGCGATGATTTCAGGGTGTTAGGGAGCTGCGCACATATCCCTTTAGAGCCTTTTACAAGGACTGAAAAGTTTAGTTTTTAAGTACAGTTCAACCTGTGGACAAGCTGGTGTACAACTGTTGAAACAGATGGAATGTGATACACTCTTGTTTTCTTTCAGCATCTATATTGGAAAACGACTGAGCACACCCTCTGCCAGCACCTACTGAGGAAAAGAAAAGCCCCTGGAACAGCGTGTGACCTGTGAAGTGGTGTATTGTCACAGTAGTTTGTTTGAACTTGAGACCATTGTAAGCATGACCCAACCTGCCCCCCTCTTTTTACATATCCAAGTTCCAGTAACTCTCAAATCCAGTATTTTATTCAAACTCTGTTGAGGCATTTTACTAACCTCATTCCCTTTTTGGCCTGTAAGACACTTTAGAATTTCCTAACAGAGTTTACTGTTGTTTAGAAATTTGCAAGGGCTTCTTTTCCGCAAATGCCACCAGCAGAGTATAATTTTGTCAACAATGCTGTTGTCTCCTTTTAGTACCACCAGACTTAGACCTGCATCGTCCATGGTGTAAATTTTACTCTTGCAAGATCAGTACCATCTCTCTCTTAAAACAAGATCAGGTTAGCAAATGATGTAAAAGCTTTGTTCTTTTGTTTTTCAAGACAAAGACAAGCTTCCCTAAGCTTGAATTTATAATTATTAAAGAAGAAAACAAAAATAAAAAAAACAAAACATAAGAAGAAAAATATCCTGGGCAATAAAAAATTATTTTAAACCATCTTTGGAGCCACTTTTTGTCTAAGCCTCCTGATGGCGCCTTTAATTTGTAGGAGGCAGACTATATCAGTGATAGGTCGGCATAGAATAAGAACTCGAATACATCAGTTTTAATACTAGTGTGTAGTAATGCTGTCTTTTCTATGCTGTAGAATCTTTATTTCTGATAAGGAACGTCTCAGGCCTAGACATACATGAAATTGCTTTTGGGATTTTTGTGTGTGTGTTTGGTATTTTTATGTTTATTAGCTGCATGTGAATTTTTCATGATTTTCTTTAAATTTTTTTTATTTCTTTTCTTTTTCCTAACAAGAGGCTTTGGAATGAGTTCCAGTTTGTGGTATAACTACAGGCTTCTTGTTTTAGGAAGCATCACTTATCCTCTGAAGCCTTTAAACTCTGAAGACAATTGTTCAGAGTTATTCCAAGCACTTGTGCAACTTTGAATAACAGACTTGGTTTGTGGGAACAGTTGACAAAGTTCTGAAAAGATGCCATTTGTTGTCTTCTCTCTCTCTCTTTTCAATGTTTACTGTGCAATCTTCCCAAGGTGATTCCTGTGATTCTGCAGGCACTGGTCGTTTTCTTGTGTAGCCATCTTTTGAGTTAAGTTAAACTCTTGAAGTTCCAGAACACTCAACAACTTCCTTCAATGATATACGTTTTTTGTTTGTTTTTAAAATGTGAAGCTTTAGGACCAAATTGTTAGAAGGCATCAGGATTACCAGTTATTTCAAGTAGATTTATTGGATTTCAGAACATAGCATGACTCCGAAGGATACCGTTATATGTTTTATATATAAATAATTACTGTTTATGATATAGACATTACTATGGAATATTTACAGAACCATTGTTAATTTTAAAACTAGCAATCTATTCATTAAATAAAGTGCATCAGGTTGACTTGAATAAAAACACTATGAGAACCAGGTTTGCCAGTTTGCAGAGACTAACTCTTTCTTTCTCTCACATCAAGTTTTGTAAAATTGATGTGTTATAGTGGAAAATAACATACAGATTAAACAAAAAAATTAATTTCTGACTATCTTTTTTCAAGAATATAGCTGACTTTATTACCATCTTTAAGAAAGATGATATATGCAGAATAGTTTTCTGAATTATTTTACTTTGTTCTTCTTTCTAGCATTTGATGTCTAAATAATTTTGGACGTCTTTTTATTATACCTTGTTTCTGTCTTGTTCTTAAACCTGGTAACACTTGATTTTCCTTCTATAACCTGTTTATTTCATGTGTTCCTATTTGAATTTCTTTGGGAAGAAAGTAAATCTGGTGGCCCACTGATTTTGAAAAACCTGAATAAAGTTGGAAAGGCTGGTGACGTTAAAGAGAACTAAATAGCTAAACTGCTATAATAGTTTGTATTACAACTGGTATCATGGGAGAGAAAAGTCAAATTTTACTTAAAATAAGAGCAACTTTTTACAGGCAGCACATTGCCCTCTTTTGAAATTCAGTAGCAATTGTTATCAGTAGTGTGATTGAACTTGGGTGTATTTTTAATTTTTTCAACATTGAAAATAAACTTAGTTCTGCCCTTTTTCATAAAATATCTGTGAAATTTTGGACTATTACTTAAAACATGAATACAGGATCACAGTAGAACTTATAAGCTGAAATCATGCGGTATTTATTGATAGCCCTAACATACGGGATAAATGTTTATGCTTCTACCCAGATTTCTGTTGAACGGAAACAGATTATGTGATTGGAGAGGAGAATTCAACAATTAACAGTTGACATTTTAAGATTAATGTTTAAAAAGTTTGATACCTGTTTATAGTTTGGAGACAAAAAGGCAGGTTTCGTTTTTCTTATGTTTGATGAAAACTGGCTTAAAATATTTGTAAATAGAAATAAGAGCAAAACTGCACAAACTTGCACATTGAAAAGTGCAGCAAGTTACTTCAATTGCAGTAAAAATATTTACGATTCTAAAAATGGAAATTGAAGACTTAGCCAGTGAGATAAATTTTTAAGTGAACCAGTTGTTGAAATGATTGGAGTAACTGAGCCAAAGTGATTATGCATTATTCATCTATTTAGTTAGCACTTTGTATCATTATATACAGTTTACAATACGTGTATAACTTGTAGCTATAAACATTTTGTGCCATTAAAGCTCTCACGAACCTTTTTCTGTCAGTCTATCGTTTTATGTCACGTGTGTCGCCTGGGAGTTGAGAGGAGAGAGGCCTCCCTGTCCACACAGAAATGTTCCATCATGGGGGTCCTCAGATACTTGAGTTCCCAACAGTGTCCAAGTGCTGTGGGAGCGAACGATATTCCTGCCCTCCCGAGTGTCCTACCCTCAGGAGACAGTCACCACATAATGTAATTATTCCTCAGAGAAGGGCATATGAAGTACCGTGGGGCCTTAACATTCCAAGCCTTTGTTCTGCCTGACAGCATCAGGGTGTTATTCACAGAGGAGGCGACACATTGAAAGACGAGTCTGTTCAGCAAGGGCAGAGGGAAGTTAAGAGCATGCCTGGAAACGGAATGGCAGGAAGTGACAGGTGAAAATATATTCCACAAATAACGTGAAGTTCATTGTGGCTGGGAAACAGTATGGGTAGACAGGAAAGTGAAAATGTAGTTTAGTGTTGAACCAAATTGAAATTTATGTGCCCTTCTTGGGAGTTGAACTTATTTGTATGTATAGGCTTATTTAAAGCAGGGAAATGATTGAAGACTTAAGTTTTAGACGGTTATGAAAGAGTGAAGAAAAGAGTCCCAGAGGCAAGGAGATCAGTCACTTGTCTAAGTCAGGAGTAAGGGCCTGCCCCAGGCTATGACCCGAGGGATGGGAAGGTGGGCAAGGGTGGAGATGTGGATGGGAGAGACAAAGCTGAAGTCAATGGCCAGAAGATGGTTTAGAGAGGAAGAAGGCACATGAGCTCTTCTTTTCAGGCCTGAATATTTATTGATGCTGTGCACTGAGAAAGTGAGGACAGGTGGAGAAATGGAGAGGTAAGGGGAGGGAGAGAGGATTTCAATTTTGAATACATTGAACCTGGTTTGAAGATAACCAGTAGACACTTCTTATGTAGAACTAGACCTCAGGAGAAAGGTCTGAAGTGGAAATGAAACACCCTGAGACACACATGCAAATATATTTATAATATTTAAAGATTTGACCATGGGGAAAGAAGAAAGGAGGTAACAAAATAGCAGTGAAGTCCAACATTTGAAGCCTGAGCAGAAGAGAAGCTCAAAAGGTGAATGACGTAAATAGTCCCATAGGAGAACCCCCCAAAAGAGGAGTGACCAATCCTATAAATTTAGTGGTTAAGGAGGGTGAATTAAAGAGAAGCTTTTGAGGTTGGCAATTGAATCACTGCCAGAGCATTTTCTGTAGAAGCAAAAGTGGTCCTGGATAAGATTGTACTGGGTCAACGAATGAATAGCAAGAAAGTGTTGGCTCTTCTCAGTAAATTTGGAGATGAAGGAAAATGAGGGGAAAGATTTCAAAGAGAGACAGGAAAGTAGGATTGTTTGGGTAGGTTGGGATATAGAGATAGTACGTTTGTACCCTAGGGAAAGAGCTTAAAGGGAAATATTAAAGATACAATGGAGCAGATGCACAATGGAATGAGATCCTAGAGGGAGTAGGAGGGTTATAGTAAGGACTCAGAGGGGAGATTAACCTTGGAAATGGGGAGAGGGACTCTTGGAGCCATTAAAAGTTCAGAAAACCCAAACATTTATGATAGGAAATGAAAAGGTAGGTGAGAAAGGGTGAAGAGAGATCTGTTAGCGAAGGAGTGGCAAGTTAAGGAAATCTACATCTGATGGCCTGTTTTTTCAATGAAGCCTAGGGCTTTGAAGACAAGGATGGTGGGGAAGATGGGGCTGTTTTCCATCAATATCTCCTGATCTGAAAAGAGATCAGAACTAAAGCTGAGATTCTAGAAGTCTTATAGTTGCTCCTGCCATTCCCCAGTGCAACCAAAAGCATCAGTCAAGTCTGCCGGGTTGAAAGCCCCAGACTAGGCTCTACCACTTTTCAGCCTAGTCAACTGGATGCTTTTGAGTTTCAGCTGTCTTGGATTGGATTAAATGATCTCTTGGAACTTTTTAATTCTATCCTTGCTGTTAGCAAATTATGGTTCAGTCTAAAAAGCAGGGTTGAGGATGGCTGAATTAGGTAAAGACGTTATGGGCATCTTATAAATGTTACTTTATATCTGGTAGTGGAACAAGAATGTGTGTTTATTCTAAATGTCTCCTTTATGCCTTTTGGTAAATGGACCAAGATAATGAACCAGAATGCAGAGAAAAAGCTATAAATTCTGGGTTTAGGTGAGCTAAGATTCCAAATCACAAATGATTAATCTTTAGTAAACTAGGAAGCCCCGTTCCTGACATTCTAATTTACATGTTTTAGCCCTGGGATGGTTTATCGTGCCTCTGCTCCATGTGGGTATGAAGTTCAAAGTATTCCCGCTTCGTAGACTAATTATAAAATTGAGCGAAATCTTTATTTAGCGAGTAGGGAGAACAATTTGGAAAGATTACTATGTCTTCTACTTCATTTATTATTATTTTTTACCTAGAATGGTAGAAATACAAATAGAAACACCATGAAATTAGTTTATAAATTCAAATCAAGGGAAAAACAGTTTTGCCAAAGGCCTCATTTCTCCAGCTGAGAAGACAAAGAGCTCATCAGAAGTTAATGGACAACAGCAAGTCCTATAAACAACTGAAAAGTGCATTTGAGTGAGTTTTCAAAGAGCGTTAAATGCTAGCAGACGGTGAAGGTGAAGCCGCTGATCAATTCTTAGACCTGGAAATGCGGATTTGGAGTTTGCCTAGTGAAATAGGGTTGGAAACTTGGGGTGAGGGAGGAAGGACCGCAAAAGCTGGCAGAAATGATTTGGTTACCCCTTAGCAAAAGGTACACCTTCTCTGCAGTTCGTTATCATTCTTTGAAATGCGCAACAAACAAAAACTCCTTTATTTCCTCGACCTCAATGAATTTTACCTCCACTCCACTTAATATCCTGTCCTCTACTCCCACTCCTAGCTTGAGGAAGGAAAAATCGTGGATATACTTAATAAGGACACAAACTGATAGTTTTTAAAGAAAGAGCTCCAAAAGTAATTCTGGCGCACAGCCAAGATTGCAAATTGCGGATCCGTGGGTATCTGGGAATGATGCCCACAGCTCTTATCCAGCCAGATCTCCACTGCACTCCAGACCCAGAGGTCCAGCTACCTGGTGGACACTGCCGTTTGCCACTGGCATTTCAGACTTCACATGTCCTGAGCTCCTCTTCCCCATCTCTCCTGCTCCCTCTCCTTGCATGCACCCATCTTCTTAGGTTGTCTGTCTCGAGAGCTCGAATATTCCTTCAATGGCCCAAACCAGAAACTTGCCAGTTCTTCTCCACTCATACATCGGTCAGTCAGTATGGCCTGTTAATTCCACCTTCAAAATATCTCTGCTCCACCTGCTTTTTCCCACCTTCCGATACCTTAATCCCGGCCACCGCCTCCCTCCGTTGGATCACCACGAGAGCTTCCTAACTGGTCTCTGTGGCTCTGTACTTCTCTCTCAGCCGCCACAGTAGTTGTTCTAAAATACAAGTTGGATCATATCACTGTGTCACTCGAAACCCTTAAATGGTTCCTCATTGTCTTGAGGATAAAGTTCAAGTTCCCTGAAGTGGCTGCCAGGCCCTTCCTCGTCAGGCCTGCTCATCTCCAGCCTCACCTCTCCCCACGGCCACCCCAACTTAGGTCAGGCTGAACATATCTTCACGCTCTCTAACACCTGGCCTTTGTAAATGCTGTTTCCTCTGCCAGGGGTATCCCTTCCCCCACGCCTCACCCTCTTTGAAGAGAAACCTTCCTTGACATCCATCACACACACACTCCACACCCAGCTGGGGTAGGTGCCTCTCCTATCATCTCCCAGAACGTCTGGCATTTACCCCCATTGTGGCACCATTCACCCTGAATTATGATTGTCTTTTTCACTTGTCTGCCTCCCTCATAGACTATGAGGTAAGTGCGGTATCTTGTTTGTTTTCCACTGTGTCCCAGAATTGACACAGTGCTTGTCACATAATGCAACAAGTTGTCTCCATAGCCTGTTGAGAAAACCTGCATCTGTGGAGGATTTTGTTTTTGCCCAGCATTGTGGTTGCTGTTAGTTAATAGAGTCCTAGTAGGTACTTTTATAGTTGAAGGAACCAGGGCTCAGACGTGTTAAACCATTGGCCCATATCACACCATTAATCGATTACAGCGTTGGGATGCCAATTCAAGGCAAAAGCACTTTCCAGGGCCTTGGTCTCTCTTTTTAAATCAAGCATCTGGGGTTTCTTAATAATTCTGAAGTGTCAATTTATATCCTGAAGATCACAGCTTCTTTTTTTTTAAAAAACTCCTTTGCCATTTATTTATTTATTTTTCCCCAAAGCCCCAGTAGATAGTTGTATGTCATAGCTGCACATCCTTCTAGTTGCTGTATGTGGGACGCGGCCTCAGCATGGCCGGAGAAGCGGTGCGTCGGTGCGCGCCCGGGATCCGAACCCGGGCCGCCAGCAGCGGAGCACGCGCACTTAACCACTAAGCCACGGGGCTGGCCCCAAGATCACAGCTTCCAACCAAGGCACTAGACTTCTGCAATCATTAATATTCTAGCAAATGCTTGTCAACTGTTCTAATGGTAGATCTGGGAAACAAAAGAATCAGATCAAACCCTGGGCATTGTTGTGAGCATGGCATATTTTGTTGTATTTGGCAACACTAATAATCCTTGTGTAAAGATAGATTCTAAGCTTCAAGCTTTCCATGTGGGCATCACTGAGTTCAGCATCATGAATAAATCTGAAAAAGAAAATCCATACGCATTTCAACCATTTCTGAAAGTTAATTTTCACATCATCTGTACTTTTATAAATGCTGTAATGTTCCTGCCAAAGAATCCGTATTTTGGGGGGTGTAATTCATGGTGAGAATAGCATGGAAAAACTGTCAGTATCACTGGCTTCTTACCCATTGCCGTGTTAGCCACGTAATTTAATAAACAAGTCATTGTTTTGGGTGAGGAGTGAGGAGCAAGGGAGGGAGGAGTAGAAGGAGGAAGGAAAGATGGCAACGTTGAGGGAGCACTTAGCATG